AGGGTCGCATTCTACGACGGGAGCGACATACTTTGGACCCCTTATGGACCTGAGTGGCGGATGCTGAAGAAAGTGTTTGTGCAATGGATTGTCAGCAACTGCGCCACGGATTCTCTCTGTGCGCTCCGCCGCAAGGAGGTTCAAAAAACCGTGGGTTATTTGTATAGTCGGGTGGGATCTCCGGTGGATATTGGGCAGCAGATGTATCTTACAGTTTTGAACATCATAACGAACATGATATGGGGTGGGACGGCGGCGGAAGAGGATGATGAGATGATGATGAAGGGAGCAGAGTTCAGGAAAGTGGTGGCGCGCATTGTAGCACTGCTTGGGAAGCCCAACATATCGGACATATTTCCGTGGTTGGCTCTGTTTGATTTGCAGGGTGTGGAGAAAAAAATGCGTTTAGCGGTTCAGCAGTTCGACCAGATCTTTGAGAAGGTGATTAAGCAGCGGTTGAAGAAGAAAGAAGAAGAGTATAGCAAGGATTTCTTAGGGTTTTGTTGAAATTGAAGGGTGAACATGATTCCAAGACGCCACTCACCATCACCCAAGTTAAGGCACTTCTCATGGTATCTATCTTTTTCCCTTCAGTTTAGAGCTCATAAGATGAACATGGAATGCTCATCTTAATCTAGGCTATTAAGATTAATTTTTGATGTTCTAGATTCAATTCAATTTTTTTTATGTCTTAGATAATTTTTTTTTTAATAGATACAGATTTTAAAATAAAGATGACACTCTATATTTGACATTTCTTAAAAAAAGTAAAATTTAAAATTTAAATCTAAACCATCAAAATAAAATTTTAAATGGTTCATATTTCATTATAGTGACGGGAGTGCGGTCCTACATTGACCTCGAACGGCTGGTAGTAGCACTATATTTGCTTTCAATATATTTAATATATATATATATATATAGGGAAAATGACAAAAATACTTTTAAAAATGCTAATTGAAAAATTAGTTAGTCTGAAGTTCAAAATGCCAAATTAGAACCCTATATTATTTTGGAATTTTGAATAAATATTTAAAATGCTTTATTTAGTTTAAACTTGTTGGTTATTATAAAATCAACATATTGTGTGTGCGTGTGTGAATATATCTTTAATTTGGAATAGTATTATGTTTGTGTTTTATTAATGTTTTTTTTACCAACGTTTTAGCAATATGATTACCGTGTTGCATCAAAAAATGATATGACATTTTACAGAACATATGTATGTTTTTCAAACATGATGTTTGTGTTTTAGTAATCTGTTTCCGTTTAAGTGATAAAATATGTACATTTTAATTTGAAAAATTCAGTAAACAAATAAAATACTTCCTCCTGTTCTAAATTTAAGATTTTGCAAAGCTATTAGTTTTGATTCTAAAGATAAGACTTCAATTTATTTTGTCATTCAAATTTGTAGTTTTCTTTTGCCTAGACTCTCCATACATATATTATTAAGGTTTTCTTTTTTAAAAAAAAAATCAAAGGATTGGTTTTCTGTGGAAATGATTAGAAGGCTTACTTTAAGGAAACCAATATATTTTTCACAAATAACCAATTTAACTAATCTTTTAATATCTGCAAATTAGTTATTTAAGTTTCATATTTACAATCAGATTGAGTAATTTTATTGATCAGTATTAATTAATGTAATTTGTGGGTAGGATATGTTGGCGGGTGGAACTGATACAACCGTGAACACAATGGAGTTTGCAATGGCTCAAATTTTAAACAATCCGAAGGTAATGAAGGGAATCCAAGAAGAACTAGAAACTGTAGTGGGAAGAGAAAACATGGTGCAAGAGTCCCATATCGGCAAACTACCATACTTGTTTGCTGTTATGAAGGAAACTCTCAGGTTGTACCCTGTTGGTGCCCTATTAGTTCCTCATTGTCCAAGTCAAGCCACAAACGTGGAAGGCTACAAAATCCCAAGAAGCTCTCGTGTGTTTGTGAATGTGTGGGCCATACATAGAGACGCTTCGGTTTGGGACAATCCTCTTTGCTTTGATCCTACCAGGTTCTTGGATGCTAAATGCGATTATAGAGGGAATGACTTCAATTATTTACCATTTGGGTCTGGACGAAGAATTTGTGCAGGAATAGCTCTGGCTGAGAGGAACTTTATGTATTTGATGGCAACGTTAATCCATTTGTTTGATTGGAGGGTACCCGAAGACCAAAAGTTAGATGTGTCTGAGAAGTTTGGTATTCTCCTCAAGAAGAAAACACCTTTGGTTGTCATCCCCACACCACGCTTATCTAACTCAGCCCTTTATTTGTAGAATACATAAATGTAGGATTAGGTCTAGTGAAAAAAATAAGTATTTCACAACATAATGAACCAGTCAAATCTCGGACTAGCCGGTCCCCCCAACACAAAATCTTATTGGAGAATTGCTTGTATTAGTGTCAGACCATGTCTTAAACAAAATTTTGTCCAATAAAATAAAACTTGTAAGCAATAAAAGAACATATTCCTCTTGTTCTTACTATAGGACCTAATTGTTAAGTTGATTTTAATCCTAAATATAAGACTTATTTCTTATATTTATCAGTTTTTCTCAAATTAAATTACCCCTATAGATATTCCTTCAACCATAATCAAGTAGAAGAGGGAGAGAGGATATTAAGGGAGTCATATTTCTTATAATTAACTAACTTACATAACTTTCTTGATCTAATCAAATTAGTTAAATAGGCCTTATATTAAGGACAGGAGGAGGATATATGTATCTATGCATGCGTGATTATACAGTGATTTAGGGATTCAACAAAATTGAAACGAGCATAGTTGTCTCTCACAAGTCAATAAAACACAATTAGTATTGCTTAATTATGCATGTGATTCTCCATGAAATGAAATGTGTAGTACTATGTGGTATGAAATATGTGTTCTCCATTATTTTAATGTAGTTCGACTTATTTTGTGGTGCTTAAAAAATATATATATATATATATATATATTTTGTGGTTTTTGCTTTTGGACAAAATCTCCGGCGTGTTGTTTGGATGAGACCTCGTGATAGCAACAATCAGGCAAGGGGGTGGTGGTTAATTGATGTTCGATTGTGTGGCGGGCCTCATGCTTCGATATTTTAGTTGGGGAAAAAAAATTTTGGTTCCAAACAAAAGAAATTACCGTAGTAAGATTTCATGAAATCATTAAATAAATTTGAACTCTCCGTGATTAAATTTAAATGTACAATCACCAATTTAACACTTATTCATTGAGAAGAAGAAACCGCTGACATTAGTTGTTAATGCATTTCACATATTTATTAATATAACTAAATGTACTCCACTGATTCAAAATATAAGATGAATTTTGTTGAAGAGACTTTTTTTTTTTTACAAGATAACATTCAATTTTATCTAATTAATTGACGAATTTTTTTTCCAATTTTATCCCTAACATATATTTTCTTTCTTCTCTGATTCATTTATTACATTTTTTACTTATTCTTTTCATTAATAAAGACATATTTGGGAAAAGAAATACATGCTTTACATATTTGTTAGTTTAAACTAATTTTTAGATAAATATAAATGGATAAATTTTATCTTGTATTTTGAACTAGTGGGAGTAATTCTTAATAACAAATGTGTGGTGCAGTTGATATTATAATTTTTATATTTCTTTATCTTTTGGTTGTTGCTTTCTGTTCTTAGACTTCACAGTTGCTTAATTGGACAGGCTGGTTTTTAAAGCCTTTTTTTTAGGCCTTTTTGTATGTTTTCATTAAGCTAGTAATAAAATTGTTTCTCGTAAAAAGAAAAAATCAGTCAAGTGGGGTTGAACTGCGTTTTAGGCTCTCATTTGGTAGAAACCTCTCGTGACTTGTCTGACAGACAGAACAGTTCTCAAGATCTGCGCAAATGAAATGTTTCTCTCAGGTTTATTATTTTTAAATTTAATTTTCAAAAATAAAATTATTACCAACTTCAATTATTTGCCAATGGGATTTTTATCGTTTAATGGAGAATGTTATATTGACAAAGAAGCCAAATATGAAGATAATGTTATGATAAATCAAATTAAAAACTACATTATGCTAGGAGTTAAATTGAGAAGACATTTTTACAAAAAATTCGTTTTAACGCACAAACGCATACATTAGCCGAAATGAAATTATACAAACGCTTTAATATACTACATGAATGTTGTTGTTGTTATTACTATTATTTGGAAAAAAAAAATCAGGGGAAGAATTTTACCTACTTTCTTCAATCCTAAATGTAAAAACTAATTAAGAAGTTTGCTTTGATCTTAAATATAAGATCTCTACTCACTTTGTTTTTCAGATTAATTATTTTTTTCCCAACTATCCATTGAACATACTCCTCCGGTCCTTAATATAAGACCCATTTAACTAATTTGATTAAATTAAGAAAGTTAGGTAAGTTAGTTAATTATAAGAAAAGTGACACATTTTTCTTAAAACACCATAATCATCTTTCTTAATACCCCCTTTCTCTTCTACTTGATTATGGTTGAGGGAGTATCTATAGGGGTAATTTAGAGAAAATTAATAAATATGGGAAATGAGTCTTATACTTAGGACCAAAACTAACTCAAGAATTGGGTCCTATATTAAGGACCGGAGGAGTATTAAAGAAGAGTTTACATATAAGGATAGTTTCCGTTGCAATTTGCAAATGATTAGAGAGAGAGAGAGACTATTTAGAAGTACACTTGTTTTTTTTTTGGACAAATAGCTGAATCAATTTCCTTAATAACTCTTACGTATAAGATCAGAAGAAGTACTAAAATTGAGAGAGGAGCTGCAACTGCATAGTGTCTCGGTAAAAATAGGTAACTAGTTCCCTGGGAGGCTCAACACAACCTCTTATTCTCGCAAATGTGATGCTTAGCTAACCACTCTCGCACATATATATACATTGCCTTCTCTAAATATGAGACCAGTTTGAATTTGCCACCTAGTGTATAGACCGAACATGGCAACATCACCAAGTTGTCCAGAAACTCTTGCTAGTTGGACGGCAATTGCAATGTCGCTGTCAATAATCAGACTAGTCATCCCCGGTCTCTAACGCAAGTTATGAGAGAGCTTCACGAATCCACTAAATAGAATCCATGGCTAACCGACGCTCCTAGAATAAAACATGTTAAGACAACACCATCCTGCTGGTTTTTCCAGCAAAGAGACACTACATGTATTAGACAACACACGCCTATGAAGCAGATGGAGCAAGCAAAAACACACAAGATGGGAACCCGAAGATCATTTTCATTTGACGTCCGCAACCTCTGAGAAGGATGATACCACTTTGCCCTCTTCAGACATCTCTGGCAAAATGAGCCTATCTGGTAAAGCATGTAATTTGTCCGTGTTTTCAAACAACTGCTTGCGGTAGATGCTGTGTAAACGGCCAAAAAGCTGCTTCTTCAGAGATTCAAAAGCTAGGTCCAGTCTCTCTAATTGTTCCATTGCATTTATATTATACATGAACAAGCCATAGTACAGATCAAAACTATCTCCGGCAGTGTTCTCTACCAAACTCAGCAAAGTCTCATAACCTTTTGTGTTGATAGGTGTTGCTACCAACCCCAACTTTTCCAATATCCTCCCCATGGTATGTGTGATAAACTGCGAGCCGGCTGCATGCCAATCATGCTCAGCACATGACATGTCAACCATCCGGCACCCTTCTCTTACAAAGATGTCAAGAAACCGTTCACATCGAGACATCCTTAATTCATCATTTCCAACCCTAACGCTATCAAAAACAAAGGGAAGGTCTTTCCACCCATTTTTTCCACTCTCAGGCCCAAACATAGGATGAGTGCAGAGAATATCAAAATCAGCTGGCAAGTGTTGAAGAAATAAGTTTCTAGGAAATTCTTTGACAGAAAGTACATCAACAAACAAGGTACTTCTCTTTAATCTCTGCACAGGCAAAGACTTGAGAACTTTCTCTGTTGATAGAATGGAAGTACAAATCAATATCACTTCCGGATGCTGTTCACAAAGATCATCTGCATCATTGAAATAAGATACCCCTAGTTCCTGGGCCACGTCAGAGTAGTTTGTTCGAGAGTATGCTAACACTTCATGGCCTTGGCGTACCATAGTTTTTGCAAGAAACTGACCAAAGTTGCCAAATCCAATTACTGCAATCTTAAGCTTTGAGTTCCCATCAAGCTGGCTTGAATTATTTGACTTGAAGCTGTACGTTTGAGCAACATCATGGAATCTGCAGGGTAACATCATATGTTATAAAAGATTAGACCTTGTCAAAGAGACTAATACACCATCCCCCAACCTCAAAAGGAAAAATAGAAGGGAGGCGTTTAAAGTCTTCCCTATAAAAGCTATAGACCATTGTTTTGCTTTGTGTTGCATTGAATGCTCTGGTTCATGTAAACAACAGCACACATCTAATTTCTCAATTTAGATGCTAGCTTTAAAAAAACTGTAGCATATAGTTTTATCCTGATTCTAATCACAAGACGACTTAGCCAATTTTAGTTGTTCTCAACATACAGTACACCAAGGGAAAAATCACAAAACTTACAACAAAAGTTGAGGCTACCTTGTATCTCTGGAGGATACGTTTTGAGCATTATTGAACACTGCGTGGTTACCATTTTGCATCTTTCCAGCATTCTCAAATAACTGATTTCTTACAACATCATGCAAACGCCCAATCAGTTGTTTCCTCAAAGCGTCAAAAGCCAAATCCAACCTCTCTAACATTTCCAAAGAATTCTTGTTGAACATAAAGAGCCCATAATACAAATCAAAACTATCTCCTGATGTGTTCACTACTAATTCTAACAAACTCTCATACCCCTTTGTATTTATTGGAGTTGACCCCAGCATTAACATATCCAAAACTCTCCCTACAGTATGCGTGATGAACTGTGATTCTGCAGCATATCTATCATGATCAGCACAAGTCATCTCAACCATCCTACATCCTTCTCTTGAAAAAATATTCAGGAACTTCTCGCAACGCGCAATTCTTGAATCTTCATCCCCGATTCGTACTATATCATACATAAAAGTAAGACCACTCCATCCATGCCCAGCACTCTCAGGGCCAAACATGGGATGCGTGCAAATAATGTCAAAATCACTTGGCAAGGCTTCCAGAAGCACATTCTTGGGGAACTCCTTCACCGAAAGCACATCCACAACCAATGTACTTCGCTTCAGTCTCTGCAGTGGAAGAGACAACACCACTTGCTCAGTGGAAATTATTGATGTGCACAGCAAAATAATCTCTGGATGTTCTTCACAGAGGTCATTTGGATCAGGGAAGAATGAGACACCAAGTTTACGAGCAACATCAGAGTAATCAGAGCGGGAATGAGCTAAAACATTGTGTCCTTGGCGTCTAAGGGTCTTAGCAAGGAACTGGCCAAAGTTGCCAAAACCAATAATGGCAATCTTGAGCTTCTGGGCATTCTGAAATTCAACGGCGAGTTTTGATTCATAGTCATAAAGCTGAGCGGCATCAATAGATCGAATACAAAGTGATTGGCGCAAGGAAAAACTGCGATGGTTGAAATCAAGGGAGGGAGGTATGGAGAAGTGCCAAGGGCGTTGACGTCCGAGAGGGGAATAATGCAAGGCAGGTTTAGGTCTCACTGGAGATGGGTAAAAATTTGACACAGAGAGCATGGCCAACCCTGTAGAGAGAAAGACCGAGGACCGCTATCAAGAAACGTCTAAGCAGTGTTGGTTTTGAAAAGAATTAGCCAGAAAATTATAATACAAAGATAAAGCAAAAGCTACAACATTTCTTACTGCATTTTAGGAACATTTAGTGAAGTAAGCAAACTGGCATGCAAGATTGGGTTTAAATAAGCTTGAAACGATAGCCAATATGTGATATAAATTATATAAATCACAGCATGATCATCTATCTCCAGCAAAATGATACCTAACTAGCTGGTTTGGACATAGAGATGCTGATTCCTAGAAAGCACGTAAATATCCAAATCGCAGGATGACAAATTTCAAAGCATGAGATACAGCATTACCTATTTCACATGAGACACTGCATCAAGAAATAACCCAGCATCAATTAACCAATTCACTTAGGAAGTCATTGCAAACAGAGATGGATAAATAAATATTCTGAGGTCCGTGAAGCATTATAGAAATAGACTACCCAGAGACCTCACATATTTACTAATTATTGACATTATTTACACGTCAAGAAATAAAGTCACAGAGATCGGCATTCTTCTTACCGGGGACGGCGAAGGCCGATTGATAACGAGCGACTAAGTCGGAGGACGACGGAGCTGTTATGGAGAGACCGAGAACTTAAACGAGTGAAGGTGCGGAGAACGGAGAATGGCTCGAGGGATTTTAGACTTGAGGCTTCCGTTTTGCGTTCAGGTCTGAGAAGGCGAGGGTCAAATAAAAACGATGCCGTTGTTTTGTCCAGTATAATTTGCCGCTAGGCTACTCGGGCGGGCGGTAATGTGGACGCTGACTTATCCCCCGTACTGTCCCACTGCTTGGGCTAGAATGACCTGGAAATCTTCTGTGATTGGTCCATGTGGTCCACATTCATTATCCCGCGTCATTCAATTATTGATGCATGTATTTGTCTTCCACGTTTCTTTTATGACAAAAATTTCAGGGAAGTTGGGTTTCAGAAACTTATTATGATTAGAACATGCTTCTAAATTTAAAGAGTGTTTATAGAAATATTTATAAATTACCAACCAATAAGGCCTTCAAATCAGTAGGATTTAAATTTATGACCTTATAAATTATGATCATACTTCTTACTAATTGTAACAACTCTTGTTGGTGTTTTTGACGTTGTGATTCCATTGACTGTAGGCTTTAAAATTTTCCTTACATTGGTCCACATGGTTTTTGGAGGGGGTCCATAGGTTTTTGTGCCGGTGACGTGACAAATATGGAGTTTGGGAGAGGCTACTTATACTTTAAGTTATTAATAATTTCTCTTTTAGTTATTAATATATACTTAAAAAAAGATGAAGACAATTTAGTAATTAAATAAGTGAAATATCTTGTAATGGAGTTCTTTGAGAATTCAGATTAATTTGAAAAATTTAAGGGAGTTTTTTATATGTAATTCTCTTAAGTGGCACCTTAATGCAGTTTTTTCCAAAGTGAATCCAAAAAGTTAGTGAATATTAGAAGTGGGAATCAGGACCGGTTTTTCAGGGCTAGCAGGCTTAGAAGGGCTGGCCCTCCAGAGCCGAAATTTCAAAAATATCCTAATTTACTAGACCCGGCCCATAGGCTTTTGGCCCGTTTAAGAAAAAAATTATTTTTTATATTTCTCATATTTTTTTATCAAAAAATAAAAATAAACCAATAAAATTGTTAATAAAAGACATAAATATGAATAAAATTAAGTCATAAATACAAAATATCATCATATATAAATATCCATCAACATCCAAGAACATTTAAAACATTCATTAATAAGATAACAACATCCAAAAGTTTTATCTATAGTGCAATTGTGCAATAATAAATACTATTATTAATCTTTTGAAATTTCATCATCACTATAACTAATTACTCTTCTTTATAAATATGCGCTTCTTTCGTAACAAAAATATCATGTTTTTATTCTTTGTAGGAATTTTACTTTTAAATTTTACAATCTAACTATTATTTTACTTTAATCTGAGAAATATTATTGTTGAAACTCGTGAATTTCTAATTCAAATTATAGAATAACAAGTTATATAAGTATAAAAATACTCTATTATCAAATATATATAGTTTAAAAATATCAACGCATATAATATAAATCAAATCATTATTAAAGTCCAAATTAACTTATTTTTTAAAAATTTAATTAAATAAATTATTGTCTAAAACTAAATAAATCAAATTGTAACACCCCAAATTTTATGACTTAGGATGGGCAGAAAAGAGAAAATTTATTAAAATTATTTATTTGCCAAATAAGTTGGGAAAAATTATGGAATATTGATTTTTAGGGTTTAGAGACATTTTGGAAAAGGTATTTCCCCAAAAATGGCTTAAATAATTGGGAAAATGACAGATAAAGCCACTCCAATATATACAATTCCAGTTTGGGTCCTGGAATTGTAGAAATGACAGATTGGGTCATTGACCCAATCTGTCATTTGTATAATGAGGGCAAATGGACAAATTCGCCCTTCTGATGTAAAAGCAAAAAGAATTATACTGAAGCAAGGAAATGTCGATGACACTTATGGCTCTGTAGAATTATACTGCAGAAAGGTGGAGAACGTTGGACGGTGGGACCTTGGAAGGTGGTTGAAGCAAGCAAGGTTAGTAATTTCTCACACCACAGTTATCGTCTATTCATCCTAGGGTCTAATCACGGTGGTTTTGTTCTTCATTTTGAAGTATTGTGATTGTGGGTATGGTTGGGTACACGTTCTTGGTCTTGAAATCTAAATGAGGTTGAAAAAAGCAAGTGAAGTAATTTTGTGCACCACAATCTTCGTCTTTTCATCCCCTACCATGATCATTTATCAATATGGGTCTATCAACCTTTTCTCCGACGAAGCTGATACAGTAAATGGGGTTACGTACAAAGGTCGAAGCATGCGTACTTATAGCGTTTCGTTGGTATAGTGAAGTTCGTATTTTTATTTGCCTGAGCTGAAGCATTTATCCATAGGGGTTTGTTGCTTTTTGGTAGGGTTTACAGTGATTAGTGTTGGGGAATGGAGGATTGTTTTTGGGAGAAAGTCGAAGCTGATTGCATGACATTGAAGTTTGAGGCATGACAGTTATGATAGGGTAGATATTATAGTTAATAGCTAATGTTAAAGTGTGAAAGCATAAACTAAAGTTGTTAATGAGTGAAGAGGTACTGTCATTTATCTTTATTTAAAGAAGTGAGAAAATATCATTATCGGTGAACTAACATAATGATTATTCAATTGTTTCAGCTTGGCTTGCACAATGAATTGTAATATTGGCTCCACTCCTGGGAAGGAATTATTTTGTTACTTTCATGTAGATGGAGAATTTGTTATTAGTCCTGAAGGTCAAGTTAGATATCATGGAGGCAGAGTACATGCAGAAACAATAAAAGATGGAATGACACTTGAAGATTTAAGGGCAACTATATCAGAATGCAGTGGTTATGATGGTAGCAGTTGGGACATGAAGTATACTGTCAAGTATGATGAGAGGACATTAATTGATCTTGTTGATGATAGCGGAGTTAGAAATATTTTTGTGCATAATGACATCATTGCGCATGTGTATGTATCATTGAAAGGCAATGAGACTGAAAGACATAAAATCAATGATCAAGAAATGTAAGTTATAAATTTCTTCTGGTTGAAGTTGTTATTTGTTGTGCTAATGTAGTTAATGTGGGAACAGATATTGTTAATATGCTAACAATTGTAGTTATCGTGTATGCAGAATTGAGACAGAACCACATGAGATGACTGATGCGCAAATGTAAGTAAAAATTTTTTTGCTGGTGTAAGTTGCTATTTGCTGTGCTAATGTAGTGAATGTAAGAACAGATGTTGTCAATATGCTAACAAATGTAATGATCGTGCATGCAGAATTAGATAGAACCGCCTGAGATGAATGATGCACAAAGGTAAGTAAAAAAAATTTCCTGGTGGAAGTTGATATTTGTTGTGCTAATGTAGTTAATATTGGAACAGATATTGTTAATATGCTAACAAATATAGTGATCGTGCATGCAGAATTGAGACAGAACCACATGAGATGACTGATGCACAAATGTAAGTAAAAAAATCTTTGCTGGTGTAAGTTGCTATTTGCTGTGCTAATGTAGTGAATGTAAGAACAGATGTTGTCAATATGCTAACAAATGTAGTTATTGTGCATGCAGAATTGAGACAGAACCACATGAGATGACTGATACACAAATGTAAGTAAAAAAATCTTTGCTGGTGTAAGTTGCTATTTGCTGTGCTAATGTAGTGAATGTAGGAACAGATGTTGTCAATATGCTAACAATTGTAGTTATTATGTATGCAGATCCGAAATTGAAAGATGGTTGGGATTGTCACGCCAGGAAATGGCTGTATCTTATATCAGTTTGGGAAACGATTATGAGCATGTGAGTCATGAAAGTACTGTTGAATGCATTCCTTATTAAGTCTCAAGTGGCTCACATGTAGGCAGTGATGGCCCGCATGAAGGCCCAAGCTCCAGTGGAGGGAATGCAGTGGCACAAATTACTGAGATGAACTATAGTAAATGGTTGGAGCTTTTTACAGGCGTGGGGCAGAAAATTGCACATGCTGGTTTGTTTAGGGAGTATTTGTACAAGTTTAGCATCGCACATAACTTTAAGCTTAAATTTTTGAGGAACAGCAAAGAGAGAATGTCTGTCATTTGCAAAGTGGAAGGTTGTCCATGGAAAATATGTGCAAGTGCATTGGGGAAGAATGTTCCATATCTTCGTGTCACCACATTCATTAATGAGCATGTCCATAGTGCCCAAGATAATTTGCAAGTTAGACAGTGTGCAAGATCTAATATGACATCCTGTATAATTATCGATGAGGTGAGGAACCATGTTGACAAGCGGGCAAGTGAAATAAGGACAAAATTGCAAACAGAATATGGTCTGAATGTTACATATAAACAGGCATATAGGGCGAAGGAGAAGGCAATAGAAGACATACATGGTAGACCTGAACATTCATATATGTTAATACCATGGATATGCCAAAGGCTGAAGGAAACCGATGAGAAAACAGTAGCTGAATGGGTAGCTGGTCCTAACTACAGATTTGAGCGTGTGTTCATCGCATACGGGTGTTGTATAGAGGGTTTCTTGGCTGGTGCTAGACCCGTTCTGTATGTTGACGGAACTCATTTATCTGGACCATATAAGGGAACACTCCTCGCAGGTTCGGCATATGATGCAAATAATGAGCTGTTGCCTTTTGCAATGGCTATTGTAAAGGGAGAGACAATTGATGACTGGACTTGGTTTATGTCTATGATTAAAAAGATAGTTGGCTCAAAGCCATTAACTATTGTGTCAGACCGTCATAATGCCATAATAGGAGCTGTACAATCAGTGTTCGGTTCTGACAGGCATGCTTATACGTTAAGGAAAACTTTAGTGCAGAGTGGCTGAAATTGAACAGAGGTAAAAGGAGCAGAACACGCTCCAAAGAGGATGCATTAATGCTTCTTAATAAAATTGCATGGGCTAGGGTTGACGATGAATTTGACAAGGCAATGGCAGAAATGAGGGAGTTCTCTCCAGAGTTATTTGACTGGCTTAACAATCATGGGGATGTAGATAAGTGGGCTGTGAGCAAGTTCCCATATAAACGATGGGATAATATAACCACCAATATTGCTGAATCATTCAATGCTTGGATGGTCAAGGAAAGAAAGCACAATGTAGCCCAAATGATTCATGAGCATCGTGAGAAAGTTGCGAAAAAGATGCAAGCATCAAGTGTGGCAATGACAAAATGGAAGAGTTGTATAGGGCCAAAGATAGAGACCAAAGTAAAGGAAAATGTGGAGGTTAGTAAGCAGTTCATTACAACAGATTATGGTAGGGGAAATGTCAATGTCCAAACCTCACGTGGACACCACCGAGTGAGTCTCAGCTTGCACCATTGTAGTTGTGCAGAGTGGCAGATGACGGGGATTCCATGTAGGCATGCTTGTGCAGCGGTGAAAACTGTCCATGGTGATATTTATGATTACATTGAGGGATGGTACAAATTTTCATGTCAGCAGAAGATTTATGGGAGGTGCATGATTCCGTGGTCACAATTGACATGCCAAATTTAAATGACTATAGGATGGAGAATATATCTAATCAAATTTTGCTGCAACCCCCAATCACAAGTCGGGCTCCTGGAAGGCCTAAGATTACAAGGCATGAGTCACAATACCAAGACAAAAAGATATACCGCTGTACTCAATGTCATCAAGTTGGACATACTAGAAGGACGTGCAAAAACCCAAATCCAAGTTGATTTGGGATGTACACCATGTGATGCATCATTTTTTTGTTAGCACTGTAGGGCCATTTTTTTGATTGAAAAAATGTAAATAGTTTAATGTATTGGCCATGTTGGTTTTTGGTTAATGGCCATGTTGGCATTATGTTGTTGGGTATGTTTTTTGTTGGTCAATGCTTTAACTGTTATTGTTATATCATTGTAATTACTGTGGACGGTTGGGTGGGTGATGTCCTTGACAATGAAACATTAAGTGGAAGCATCATCTTAATGTCCACTTGTCATGAAACATATGTAAATCAATTATTGTGATGTATTTGATGATTGTTGGTTAATGACTAAAGTGATGTTGTTATTCTCTATTCTATTGTTGTAGTTGTGATGCATTTGCTGTCATGTTATTTTTCCTATCTACAATTATGCTACTGTGAGTAGTTATTGGTGCATGACAAACGTGCATGTAGGTAATGCTTAAACACTTCTAGTGAATTGTTGATCAGATGTGGGTAATAACCTCATCACTTGTACTGGCTCTCAATGAAACTCCTCATGGGCCATTTCTGCGTACGTTGATATAGTAAGTAGTTATTTTCTACACTGATGTAGGTAATGCCTAAACACTTCTAGTGAATTGTTGATCAGCTGTGGGTAATAACCTCATCACTTGTACTACTCTCAATGAAACTCCTCATGGGCCATTTCTGCGTACGTTGATATAGTAAGTAGTTATTTTCTACACCGATGTAGGTAATGCCTAAACACTTCTAGTGAACTGGTGATTAGATGTTGTTAATAAGGTCATCACTTGTACTGACTCTCAATGAAACTCCTCATGGGCCATTTCTGCGTACGTTCATATAGTAAGTAGTTATTTTCACACCGATGTAGGTAATGCCTACACACTTCTAGTGAATTGTTGATCAGCTGTGGGTAATAACCTCATCACTTGTACTGACTCTCAATGAAACTCCTCATGGGCCATTTCTGCGTACGTTGATATAGTAAGTAGTTATTTTTTACACCGATGTAGGTAATGCCTAAACACTTCTAGTGAACTGGTGATTAGATGTTGTTAATAAGGTCATCACTTGTACTGACTCTCAATGAAACTCCTCATGGGCCATTTCTGCGTACGTTCATATAGTAAGTAGTTATTTTTACACCGATGTAGGTAATGCCTAAACACTTCTAGTGAACTGGTGATTAGATGTTGTTAATAAGGTCATCACTTGTACTGACTCTCAATGAAACTCCTCATGGGCCATTTCTGCGTACGTTCATATAGTAAGTAGTTATTTTCTACACCAATGTAGGTAATGCCTACACACTTCTAGTGAACTGGTGATTAGATGTTGTTAATAAGGTCATCACTTGTACTGACTCTCAATGAAACTCCTCATGGGCCATTTCTGCGTACGTTGATATAGTAAGTAGTTATTTTCTACACTGATGTAGGTAATGCCTAAACACTTCTAGTGAATTGTTGATCAGCTGTGGGTAATAACCTCATCACTTGTACTGACTCTCAATGAAACTCCTCATGGGCCATTTCTGCGTACGTTGATATAGTAAGTAGTTATTTTCTACACCGATGTAGGTAATGCCTAAACACTTCTAGTGAACTGGTGATTAGATGTTGTTAATAAGGTCATCACTTGTACTGACTCTCAATAAACTCCTCATGGGCCATTTCTGCGTACGTTCATATAGTAAGTAGTTATTTTCTACACCGATGTAGGTAATGCCTACACACTTCTAGTGAATTGTTGATCAGCTGTGGGTTATAACCTCATCACTTGTACTGACTCTCAATGAAACTCCTCATGGGCCATTTCTGCGTACGTGGATATAGTAAGTAGTTATTTTCTACACCGATGTAGGTAATGCCTACACACTTCTAGTGAATTGTTGATCAGCTGTGGGTAATAACCTCATCACTTGTACTGACTCTCAATGAAACTCCTCATGGGCCACTTCTGCGTACGTGGATATAGTAAGTAGTTATTTTCTACACTGATGTAGGTAATGCCTACACACTTCTAGTGAATTGTTGATCAGCTGTGGGTAATAACCTCATCACTTGTACTGACTCTCAATGAAACTCCTCATGGGCCATTTCTGCGTACGTTGATATAGTAAGTAGTTATTTTCTACACCGATGTAGGTAATGCCTAAACACTTCTAATGAACTGGTGATTAGCTGTTGTTAATAACCTCATCACTTGTACTGACTCTCAATGAAACTCCTCATGGGCCATTTCTGCGTACGTTCATATAGTAAGTAGTTATTTTCTACACAGATGTAGGTAATGATTACACACTTCTAGTGCTTCCTCAAATCGAACTAGTGAATGAATATAATTATTCATTGCGCACCACTAACTACAAATCAGTGACTAGTTATTTGCTTAAACGAATATAGGTAACGATAAAAATGTTATAGTCATCCTTTAAATAGATCTAAGTACTGAACTTAATAACAAGTCGTAACTTGATAATCACCCAGAATTTGACTATGTACATTACCGGTACAACATCATCCCCTATGAAATTACATGGTTACTATTGAAGAAACCTTTCCAAATTGTCTTATACACATGTAAATACTAATTCTTGACACTCCTATTGAGTTGATCGCTGTCGTTTGCTTTTTCTAGTATCTTCTTGTTCCTCCAATAGTGTTAAGGCAGCATCACGACATGCATTGTTAGGATGATTAACCATCCACCACATTAGATCACGCCTAAATTGAGCCACTTGATCCTGCACAGACATTGAATTCCTCGTCACATAAGGCAATAATCAATCACAACAAACAATCATTAATTACATAAAACGTACAGGAGTATAATTAAGCGCTGCCTGTGGATGCCACGATTTTAACCATAGCATAACATAGACTCCACAGTCCTTGCTGCACACAGCATGTCATGACGTGTTAACTATTTTGCCCAACAACATCCAGCCAACCAATCAATTTAAAGAACAAAAAAGTTAATCACACTCACATGTTGTTTTGTTTTGCAACATCAGGATAAATTATATCAGGCTTTGGCTTCTTCCCAATCAACTTTGGCTGAACCAATTCTATAATATCGTGAAACCGGTCCCGCTGGATAAAACAATAGCAATCAATGAAATAAAAATGGAACAGATTAATTATAAACAATAATTGGTACATACACAAATGTTGTGGAACTTTTCCATATCGTCAACAATTGTTCCCTTCTGCTTGTTCTTTTTCTTTGGCTGCCCACTAACATATACGTTCAGTGAATCCAGCACGTAGAAGTTCATGACCTTCGGCTCCAGCACAAAGCAGAACCAGTGTTGGTCTACAAGTGCTGGTCCCAAAATCAAGTCACAATCCCCAATGTTGTAACCAACATGTTCCTCTTGTAGTTCCTTCTTGCTCACTGCAACACTCCACCCTGGACTACAAAGTTTGGACTGCAAAATATGACACTATAAGCATATTGACATAAACTATTGCTGAAATTAAGTAATATTACAGCAATCTTACCATAAAGTAGGCATCAAATATGTGTCGTCTAACTTGTCCACCCCCCTCTTTTATTTCTCCCATCAGCATGTGGCACACCATTGACATGACCTGTTTGACACATGAGAAAATTTTTAAGTTTCAGCTTGCACAGCATCTGTTATACACAATAGCTAATCAGGTGGAGATTTCATTACATGGTTACTAACTCTATGCATTCCACCCAATGACCTTAGATCATCACGAGTTACATGGAAGTCATACAACTCAACCAACCTCCTGCAGATCAAGTACTCATTTTGCTTAGACAGGCCACAAAAAGTTTCATTCACATTTATTTAATAGCAATAAAAGGCTTACTTGTCACCATCAGCTGAACTGCACATTTTGGAGACAGTGATGAAAAATTTTTCCTTGTCATCCATCTTCCGGTTTGTTCTCTTCACAACCTTTGGCACAACCCAGGGAGACTGTAGTTTTGGGGCGGGCTTCATCGGCCTTTTCGATCTTCTTACTTGTTCTGCCTTGTCCAGTACTTCCTCTTCATCCGATGCTCCTCCTTCAGCATCTGGGTGAATGATGGTGATAGGAGATAATTGCAATGATACTTGTTCAATATCTTCCTCTTCACCTTCTTCCTCCTCAATATCATGCTCAGAATCTTCATTTTCTCCATCACCATCCCTGTCCTTCTCACCATCATCTTCTGCATCACCATCCTTGTCCTTCTCGCCATCATCTTCTCCATCAGCTTCACCTTCAAGTTGTTCTTCCTCATAGGGCCGTACATGCCTTTTATTGTTAGATTTCGGCCTGTACTCCCTTTCCAGCTGTACCTTCATCAGCTCATTGTCAACAATAGCCACAAGTTTGTTGCTATTTTCTCTAATCATCCCCACCAACCTCTCACGCAAATCCTTCAACTCCTATAGGAAACCAAAAAAATTTTCAGTATGTATTGTTATTTCAAAAATATTTGAGAAGGTTACAGAAGTTTGTAAACATGACATATTACTAAATAATATAAACAAAATCACTATTTAACAAGGTTGCCTTTACCGGGTCTAGATAAGGTACAGATTCGCTTCCTCCCTTATTATCAGGCACTCCAGCACGCCCTTCTGAATAGAGAAGTCCAATACGGCTCTTTCTTTCTTTATTACTCATTTCGTTGACCCTCTTATCCGTCCAGAATGATATGGCCTCAGTGTGGTCATGCTTTGCACTTTCAGTTATAGGAAAATACTCAAGCAAATATAGCTGTATCACCAATTAAATGACATTAACACTGTTACAGTGGCAAAACAATAACTAATAAAAAAAATGCATACCAGTAACAGGTATATGCATCCACCAACATTGCAGCTGCCATCCTGCTTCCTCACAACCCTCAAATAATCTTCCATCTCCTTCGACAGCTCTTGCACCACAAACGTAGCCCAATCATATTCCACAAATGAATCCTTTGTTGCAGCCACCACCTTTATCAGTCGCTCACTTACTCTTCCACTAGAAGCGATCATATCCATTTAAGTTGGGCCAGCCATTCCATACTTTGGGACTTTATGTACATAATGATGTCATGCTTGCGTACTCAGAACTCGTTTCAAAAAAATACACCGTCTGGGGGCTTTCACTAACTAGCACCTATAGTCCGAAGCTTAGAAGCGCGCTTGGGTGGGCATAACAGAGTTCCAAGTGTGTGGAGCATAAACAACATTTTAAATTCATCACCCTTCTTTTGTCCAGATGTTATCACCTTTAAAATATCTGTATAAGACTTCTGGAAATAATTAAGCCTAAGGCTTATAAATGCAGGGTCGTCCTCAATAACTTCAGATGTCACCTCCCTTCTCCCAACATGGGGTATGCCTAGGAGCATTTGCACATCTACTGTATCCAGTTTTCTAGACATTCCCCTAATGAGAAATTGCTGCGTTGGTGGATCATATGAACGCATCATAGCAGCACAAATGTCTCGAGGGAGTCTACGAAGTCTCAACTCTAGCAACCTTGACAACCCCATTGCTTGAACCTCGTCTTTCAGATCCTTGTTGTCCTTAACATACGCTGCCAAGGAAATGAACTGTCCTAGTGCACTACGACAATGAAAAGGAAGCTGGTAGTTGCTCGTTGTTGCCTTTGGTGGCCTTGTTTTCTTTGCCTCATCTTTATATCTTTGTCTCTCTGATTCAGGCAGTTCTTTCCATGCCTCTGTCACTCTTTAGTGCATTGGGTCACATTCTTGAACTTCTTCTTACACTTATTCATAAACTCAGTTCTAAACAAAAGCAACCCGCTCCTCACAGGTTTAGATGGACCTTGTTCATCAGCTGACATATTTGTTATCTTGCAATAGCCATCAATTTTCATCAACAACCATCATCACCTAATCCGTTCAAACATTTCTATAACAAGAGAACAAACCGAACGTCTCCAGTTGTAGACATGCAGGAAACCAGTTCAATTTCAATGACGTTTGCTCCAGATACAAAAATAAATCCTCAACAATTCAAATACATGATCTACGATGACTTAATAAGGAGCAGACCCAATTAGCAATCTTTTTGCTTGAACTGATTGTTTTTACAACATGCATAGAAATAGTGGACTCTAATAATCAAGGATACATTATTTCCCTCCACCCTCACTCAGCAGCCATGCTTGACATAGAAGAACGACCTTAGATACTCTGTTCTACGGGTCTGTCTACTTCCAAAATAGTGATGCCCAAGCAAAATGATGCAATTGAACAATTATATATATTCATATCAAACGAAATAGTTCAACCTTTAACAGAAAAAATTATACCCACAAGACAATGCAAATTAGAACTCATTCGTAATGATCAAAACACTTTAAGAGTGAGTTCATCAACAATAGCCAGAAAAAGTTCGGAATCCCCACAACATTAGTTCTGCAATCTCTATATTCAAATTACTTCCTCTGTAACAACCTCGCCACCTTGCCGCTAAAAGAACTTAGTGTCATTTTCTCGGATTTTTTCAGGAACAAAATTTTTTCCAACCGAATCAACAAACGCTTGCGATAACAGTATACGCAGAAAAACAGATTAACTACAAATGAAATGAAACAATGTTATTCAAGCCGAGAAAGAAATGAACGGAGAGAACCTGAATAAATTCTTTCACAGCCACTGAATGAAGGAAAGAAATGAGCGCCAATGCCCTAATTTCCCTTCTTCTTCTACCACCGGATTTGCTTCTTCTACCACATGCGACTGGCAGCCCTTTTCTCCCTTCCCGAAATGTGCCTTCTTCACAGACAAAAATCGCTTCCTCCACGGTCTCGTTGCTTCCCGCCTCTTGCTCGGTTTCTATCTTCACTCAGCCATCGCAAATTTGTCCATGTTTAAAATTGAAATAAGGGCAAATTTGTCCATTTGCCCTCATTATGTAAATGACAGATTGGGTCAATGACCCAATCTGTCATTTCTACAATTCCAGGACCCAAACTGGAATTGTATATATTAGAGTGGCTTTATCTGTCATTTTCCCTAAATAATTTTAATGGATAATTTTAAGAGAAAAGTGGTTTATTTTCTCCGAAAATTATGAAAAAATACTTAGAGATTTATATTTAATCTGAAAATTTTAGGATGATCATTTGAGATAGTAAAGAAGATATTTGAGGTATAAAATCCTTAAATGGGTTAAGGATTAATTTCTGGAATTAAGAGTTATTTTCTTAGAAAATTCAAGAAAAATAGTTATGAGTTAATTTTTGATCCAAAATTTTTAGGGAAATTATTTTATGGGTCAAAGAAGATAATGGAGAAGGAAAATCCAAACAAAACATCATGGAAAAATTTCTGGATTTATTCTATAATTTCAGAAATTTAGTGAAAGGATGAAATTGGAAATAAGAATGTTTAGAGGGGCAAAATGGTCCATTAAGTCACACACAACACGTGCCATCTTCTTCATTAACAATCAGCTCACCGTGGCATTCTTTCATTTCCTTCCATCCGCGACAGTGAGAGAACTCGAGAGAGGGAGACAGACCGAGAGAGAGAACGGAGAAGGAGTGGCGCCGGAGGTGGTGATCTGAGGAGCTACACTTGCATGCAAACCGTTAAACTGTCAAGGTGAGCATCCTGATCAACCTCCCACCATTTTCTTTCCTGTTATCCGAGTGGTTATGGCGTGTTTGAGGAGAGAGAGACAGAAGGGTAGTGAGAGAAAGTGATGGAAAGGATAAGAGGACCGATGGATTCGGATTCTATGGGTAGATTCAAGTGTTTGATGTTGGTTTTTAAGCTTGCATGTGAGATTTCTTGCTGTGCTCTAGTTTGGCCGAGCAGGGGGGCATCATGGTTTCTGTAAGAATGAATTTCGGTTCCTTATTTACTTAGTGAGAGGAGTTGATCTTGAGGCTGTAAGTTCATTTCTTCCTTCTGTTTTCTTGCTGGCCGAACTGACATAGCACGAAACATATATATATATATATATATATATATAATATATGCATGTGCCGCGGGATCCAGAAGGAGTTTGTGTGTGATGTGTGACGGGTTGCTCTGTTTTTTTTTTTTTAATCCGAGACAGGGGAGTGTATTCGGTGCTTGCATGTTGTTTACGTTAGTTTGCTGATGGGACTTTGTTACTGGTTACAGAGATTTTGGAGTGTATATATATATGAGGAAGAATCGAAGCTTGTGTGTGTGTGTGTGTGTGTATAATGTGTGTGCGTGGTTTGTTGCTGTCATGGGACTCGAATTCATGGAGCCAAGGGAAATGGTCACTGGTTAGATGATGACCGTTTTGGAGAGGAGACCGAACTGATATATATATATATATATATATATATATGTATTGATATAGTTTCAGTATATGTAGCGATATATGACTTATATAGGATTTTGCACTGGATATATATTTCTCATATAAGGGCCGTGGGAAGCAATGGCTATGACTGGAAATTAAAGAAAAGATTAAGAGTTACTTGGGAGCAAATAAATGAAGGTTTAGTATTTAATAAGTGTAAGGATGCTTCTTTGCGTTAAGTAGTATTATCCTAGCTAAATAAATTTTGTTTGAGGCTGGGATGTAAGTTTAGGAATTTAATGTTTTGGTTGCCTAACATCCTTGAGTGTACGCTATTATTGAAATTAAGTTAATTACTGTTTTGAGGGAGAATTAAGAATGTTTAACTTATATTTAAGTTAGTCTTAAATCTGAAAATTTTTCTAGATTTAACTTGAAGGTTGAAAAGAGATGTTGTTGGGTATTTTTAAGTAGTGAAACTGAAAATTGATTGATACTCGATCATAATTATGAAGCAATAGTAATACATAATAAAATTTTGAGATAAGATTGTGTGTCTGTCTTAAGGTGGAAGTGTAGTGGCTGTTATGTGCATTTAGATGTCCAGAAATTAGCTTGAATGGATTTAAGTATTGGAAGTGAAAAGTGATACATACACACATATTGAGGGAAGGAAAGAAACGTGTGAGGCTTGGAATGCAATGAACTTGAGTTTTGAATACTGGATATAAATGAAATGGAAAATCTGAAAGTTTAAGAAAGAAGCCTTTGATGGAGGGTTCAAAGGTTATAGATAGTATTTTAGATTAGAGATGTCTTGAAGTTAGGAATAATTTCTAGATTATGAAAGGCAAAGGAGTTTATTTAAATTTTATTGTTGAAAGTGCTTGAGGTTACCAACCAATGGATAGGAATTTTAAATAATTAGAGGATAGGTTGGCAAGGATTAAAATTTGTATAAGAGGATTATGAGGCTATGGGAGAATAATGCAACGTGTATGTGATTGAGCTACGAATAGATAGGGATTGTAAGCGGAATTGTGGACATTGTAATATATATACATATATATTTATATATCTTTAGTTTTTCCATAATGACCAACCACTTAATAAAAGTGGAGCCAGATTTGAAAAAGGGGATATGATGTTATCCTTAAATTATAATAAATAGAAATAGTGCTTTTGACCAAGATGACCAGTTACTAGATAAGGAAGGAAACTCTCCAAAGAGAAAAGTTTAAATAAGAAAAATTGTCCAGGATGATCAACTATTAAGTAAGGGTAGAGATTGAAAGAGATTGGGATTTAAAGAGAGTTATTTAATTTATAAATTATATTGGATCAAGTATTAACCAACCCTTACTAATATAATAGGTTTTGATATCTGCAAAAGCCCACCGAAGAAGCTAAGAGAAAGGAAACAAGTAAGGTTTGATTTTGAAGCGGAAGGTTCAGGTAGTAGTTCTTTCCTACTTTACACTTGTGTATGATTACTGCATGTCTGTTTGTGCCATATTGCTGTTAAAGCATGAGAACATGTAATCCTTATTTCCTTGGATGGATTATTTAGCCGTGATCACGTGTAGCTAATAGACGTGGGGCAATATCTGCCAATTATTTGCGCATTAATTAATCAGCTTGTCTATCTGTCATTACGCACAAATGCTTAATTACATTAGCTTGTAAGGTTATGTTCCTCTTTGGCTTGTTTTGCATGCTTTATGTAATGTGCACAATTGTTT